CGAAGGACAGTGAATATGTTATATTTGATAACTGTAACACTAAACATACAAAAATACTGTATTTCTTTGTAAAAGCGGCAGGTGCGTCATTGATCTATCTTTCAAAGCCAGATTCGGGGAAGATCCTTTAGCCTTTTCCCTACATAAACCGGTTTCTGCTGGAATAAACATCTTCTACTTGCCTGAATCCTGCCTGCCTGCCTCCTGAGTCTTTGTCCCAGCAGACCAAGTGCTGAAGAAATAACATGAGCAGAAACAACAGTTAACAATAGTGGAAGATTGATTGCTGTAAAACTATGGGATGGGTTATATTATTGAAAATGTGAACAGGAACCTGACAGAAACTCCATGGGGTCATCAAGGTAACACAAAGTGCAGAGTAGGAATGTAACAGGCGATGTAGTGGCCAGGCATTTCAAAAGACATACATTTTGTAATGCTAAACATGTGCATTCACAGCCAAATGCTTACAGAGACAATGATTTCTTCAACATTCCAAAGGTCATGAGAAAGGCTAGCAATTGACGTGTTCAATTTCAAAGGGAAGACATATTGAGTACTAGTTGACAATCATTCAGGATGGTCTGAAGTAGCAAACCTTCTCTCAACTGCAGTAGATTCAATGATCAGAGGAAAAGGATATTTGTGATACACAGTTTCCTGTAAAAATTAATATCGGACAATGAATCTCAATTTGTGAATGAGGGTTCAGGAAGTTCACTTTGGAAGAAAGCATAAACCTGGTGACAAATTCTTCACCCAATCCTTCATCAAACAGAAAGAGCAATCAAGACTGTGAAGTCAGTGGTACATAATACACAGTGGGAATTGGTTCTCTTCAGTTACAGAGCAACACCATTGATTAATGGATTAAACTCAACAGCAGAATTAATGGGGAAGAGGTTAAAAAAAAAGACCAGTTTCCGAACACAATGTCAAACCAAACATTATCTCTCAAGACCATGAGAAAGTAGAACAATTGAAGAAAAACCACAGCAAAAAACAATAGAGGCGCTGCAACTCTAGAGCCAGGTCAAAACTCCTGTTAACCTTAAAGCAAGGGCAGAGAATCTGGTTGAAGGACAGGAAGTCAGAAGCCACAGGTATATGAGAAACAGATCAACCACGATCTGATATTATCAGAATGCATGAATGGACATGCCAAAGAACAAGGAAGACATTGATCTTACTAAAGCCAAGCAGAGAGACTGAATATGATCACAAGTGTGCTGAGTGATTTAATCTATTCCAGACATAGCAGAACACCATATCCTCAGGGTGATTTCAAGTGAACTAGATTGGGACATCCAATCAGAATTTCAGATTGCTGAGCTGTGAACTTTGAACTCTGGGGACAGGAGGGAGATGGTGGTAATGGTGATCACAGTGGTGATGGTAGTAATTGTGTCAATAATGAGGATAATGATTACTAACATTATATAACTCAGTAATTGGGATGTTATGTTGAAGTTGTATCTGACAGTGGTGAGGCCTCTTCTGGAATACTGTGTCCAGTTTGGGTTGACCTGTTATATGAAGAATATTAATAAACTGGAGAGGGCTCAGAAAAGATATACCAAGATGTTGCCAGGAATGGAGGGTTTGAGATATAAAAATAGACTGGAAAGGCTGAGGCTTTTTCGACTGGAGCATAGGAGTTTGAGGGATGACCTTGTTGAGGTTTATAAAATCATGAGGGGCATTGTTAAGATAAACGACAAGGGGCCTTTCCCTAGTGTGGGGGAGTTCAAAACAAGGGGGCATCTTTTAAGGTGAAAGGAGAAAGATTTAAAAAGGACATAAGGGACAACTTTTTTACACAGAGTGTGGTTCGTGAGTGGAATGAACTGCCAGAGAAAGTGATGGATATTGGATAAGTTCATGAATAGGAAATGTTTGGAGGGATATGGGCCAAGCGCAGGCATGTGGGTCTAGATTAATTTGGGAACATAGTCAGCATGGACTAGTTGGACTGAAGTGTCTGTTTCCATGCTGTTTGATTCAATGACTCTATTGGAATAAGGTACACCAAGTAAGGAGTGAGCTGGGGAGAGATGTGGTATAATGAGATTCACATAAATCATACAACTGCTTATATGGCACTGGTAACAGTAAAGGAGAGGGCACCAGTCTAGAACAAGCATGTGAAGAGTTAGGAAATTACACTAGAGAACTGTGGTAACTATTACATAAAAGTAAAGTTACAGTATAGTCTCAGAGGACCAATGGGCTGAGTTTAATCTGAAAGTCAACACCTCAGGTGAGGGGTGAAGTTGAGATGACAGCATTTTCATTGTAACCTCAGGTGGTGTGGGAATTGAACCTATGCTGTAGGCAACAGTCTGCATTGCAAACCAGCCATCCAAGCTGACCAACTCCCTAACCTATTATGTAATAATGCAAGTAAAGGAGTTTCATTTTGTTAATGGGATGTGGGTGTTATTGGCTGGGCTTTCATTTATTGCCCAATCCTAATTGCCCAGAAGGTAGTTAAATTCAACCATGTCGCTGGAACTGGAATCACAGCAGGTCAAACCAAGCGAGGATGACAGATTTCTTCCTTAAAGAACCAGGTGTGTTCTTACAACAATTGACAACAGTTACACAGTCAACGTCAGGCTGGCTTTTTGTTTAAAACCAGTTTTATTATTGAATTTATATTTCACCATCTGTCAAGGTGGAATTCTAAACCATGTCACCTGAACAATGTTTGGGATTCTGGATTACTAGCCCAATGACTTTATCACCACGTCACAGCATCTGACTTAAAGGAGTGTTACACAAGGATTTGAAGAGCCTTACTCAGTGATAAGGAGCAAGCAGCCTTAGTAACAGTGTATGTGCAGACACCAATCGCCTGAGATACTGCAGACCAGTATTGCATTGTTCATGTAGCAGTATTAGCTTAAAGCACAAGATAAAGCAGTAGTAACAGACTGAAAGTAGAAAATCCTCCTTGAATCTTAAATATTTTAAGTTGGAGACCACTCCATCTTAAACTATATTCCCTAGTTCTAGATTCTCACACTAGGAAAAAAAGAACAGCTTCTCAATATCCACCTTGTCAAGTTCTGTCATAATGTCCAATCTGCTCAATATTTATGTATAAGATATAACCTATGCATCTCAAGAATAGCCAAGTGAATCTTCTCTGAATTGTTTCCAATGCAAGCACATTGTCTTTAAGTGCTGAGACCAAAATTGTGTGAAGTACTCCCGGTGCGGTCTCGTCACTGTGCTGTGGCTAGGTGGTGAATTTACAAATCAGAGTCATATCAATAGTGTGGGTTCAATTCTTGCACCAACTGATGTTGCATTGAACACTCTCCTTCTCAACCTCACCCTTACTCTGATGCATGGTGAGCCTCAGGTTAAACCACCACCAGTCATCTCACTGTAATGAGAGAGCTACCCTATGGTCTGTGCATGATGACTTTAACTTTATCCTTTGCAGTTGTGGCAAGATGTCTACACCTTTACACTCCATTCCCAATTCAATAAAACCAATATTCCATTTACTTTCCAAAGTACTAGCTGTACCTTATTATTTAGGGAAGGAAATCTGCCATTGTTACCTTGTCTGGCCTCCATGTGACTTCAGAACTACAGCATGCAGTTCATGGACAATTTGGGATCAGCGACAAATACTGGCTTTGCTTGCAACACATGCATTCCATGTAATAATAATACATTTTAAAGATTCGCATGTTTTTTTTCTTGATTCAAGTTGAATGATACCCAGATTCGTTTCTACCGCAGCATTTTGTAGTCTTACTCTAAAAAATATTTTAACTTTCTATTCTTCCTGTTAACGTGGGCACCTTCACATTTTTCCAACTTGTGCTCCATATGTCAAATATTTGCAAACTCATGTAGCCTACTTTCATCACTTTACAGAATATTTATGTCCTCTTCACAACTTGTTCTCCAACCTATCTTCATACCATCAGCAAATTTGACATTAATGTACTAGGTCCCTTCATCCAAGTCAATAGTACAGATTGTAAATATGTTCAAGCCCCAACACTGATCCTTGTGGCACTCCATTGGTTACAATTTCCCAATTTTGGAAAATTTGAAAAATAGTGACAGAATTTGATAGCACTGACCAAAAGTTAAAGACTAACAGTCATCAATATACGAGCTTCATATTGAACAGATGTATGCAGGAAGTGATACTACAAAGAGCATACAAAGTCTTCATGATTAGGGAGGGCAATTGAGCTCGAAAGTTACTTGCCATCAAATAATAACATGTGTTATGTGAAAGAGCCACATGTGGTGGCTCAGAGATCCCAGCTACAAGGGACATGCTGACTTGAAGTAAGATTCTGCTTTCAAAGAGTAACAGAAATAGCAGGTCTAGTCATCCCAAAGTGCTTTTGTATATTATTAAACATACCAGATGGTGAGCATCCACAGGTTAACCGAAGGAAAATATTTGGTCGGTATAATGGACTCCATTTCTTTTTGTTTCAATCTGGGAAAGTGCATTATGGCAGAGTCATCTGAAACAAAAAAGGAAAAACTATCAAATAATTACCAAAAGTTGAAATAACCTCCATTTATCCAGTCCTCTATATTTCAGAGGTTGAAATAGAGTGATGATGATAATAAAGCAAGGGAGCTGAGAAGGAACTGAAAAAGTAAACACCAATGATATTCCCTTCAGTGTAACTCTTTATAAGTTGATAATGTGGTATGGATCATAATAGTAACCAAATAACAAAAGGCTTTAAGGAATTCAAATATTTTGTAACTCCATAATCCTTGGCATTTTACTTGGGCGATTTAAAAATATGAAACGTGTATGTCATACATTATGGCCTTTAGAGTTTCTGTGGGAAATGAGTAGGTGTAAACCTTCAGTTTCCTTTGCAGATGTGACACGGGTTTCTTTTAGCAGCTCGAGGTATATTTCCTGTCAGTTAGATTGTGTAAAAAAGAACTGAGGGGGGAAGGTAGAGAGAAAGAAAGGAAGGCGTACAGAAGATGAATAGGAGAAGGAGCAAGAGGATAAAAACAATTAATGGATTTCGTGATCTCCTTTTAGTTCTACTGAAAGGTCAAATGGAAATTTTACTTTTTTAAACTATCATTCAGTTAATAGGTGGTCAAATGTAAAGGTGTTTTATTTGAAGTTATTAAAATTTCTTTTCACAGCAGATAAATTTTCTTTTTATTACAGTTCAGAGCAAATATGTTGAACTCCACCACCTGCAATTTTCCCTCCAAGTCACATGCCATCCTGACTCAGAATTAAATTGCCATTCGTATATCGAAACTAGGTCAAAACCATGGAAATATATTTTAATTCATTCACAGGGTGAGAACATCACTGGCTAAGCGAGCATTTATTGCCTATGCCAGAGGGCAGTTAAAAGTCAGCCATATTGCTGTGGGTCTGGAGTCACGTGTAGGTTAGACCAGGTGAGGATGGCGGTTTCCTTCCCTCAAGAACATTAGCGAACGAGTAGGTTTTGTTTCTAACAATCAGCAATGGATTCATGGTCATTGTTCGACTCTTAATTCCAGACCTTTTTTTTCATTGAAATCAAATTCCACCATCTGCTGTGACAGGATTTGAACCTTGATTCCCAAAGCATGGGGTGACACTGTGACTCAGTGGTTAGCACTGCTGCCTCACAGCACCAGCGTTCGGTTCCACTCTCGGGTGATTATCTGTGCAGAGTTTGCACATTTTCCCCGTGTCTGCCTCGCAAAGTCCAAAAGTGTGCAGGTTAGGTGGATTGGTCATGCTAAATTCCCCATAATGTCCAGGGATGTGCAGGCTAGGTGGGTTAGCCATAGGAAATGCAGGGTTACAGGGTGGGGATGGGTCTGGGTTGGATGCTGTTCGGATGGTTGGTGTTGACTCAATGGGCTGAATGGCCTGCTTCCACACTGTAGGGATTCTATGACTCTATGAGTATTACCAGGGTCTCTGGATTAACAGTCCAATGATAATACCACTCAGCCATCACCTTCCCAATTCCCTTCCGAACAGCATTGTGGATGTACTATACACAAGAAGATAGCTTACTACCAAGTTCTCCAGGGCAATTATGGACAATAAATACTCTCTTAGGCCATGAAGCTTACATCCTATGAACAAATGAAAAGAAAAACCACCTGGCACAGGGATGCCAAAGGCCCTTGTTATGCTTGAATGAAAGATGAAGGACTCCCCCAACATTCTCACTCCTGTGGTGGCTCCTGTATGCAAACACTTTGTGGAAAACAGTGGTGGCTGCTGAAAAGATCCAGGTCTAGCAGAATGCTCAGTAGCTGTCAAATACGTGCTTGGACCTGCACTTCTTCCCTCCCAACATGGGTGCTCAGCATCAATGGCGAATTGAGAGAGGGACAAGGGACCTCGATATAGCTTCATCTTAAAAAATGACCAAATGTAATTTGAGGATTGAGAGATTACATTGATGTATTCTTTAGCCGCGCAAGGTGACCCGACAAAGTGTCTATGTTCTTTTCGCATGAAGCAGCTGTCAAGCGACGCCACTTCAACCATCCCCCAACCCTCCATCTACCTCAGTAGGTCATGTCCTAGCAGTCCTCTGGTATGAATGAGTATATGGTGGATGTAACACACTGCTTTATAATGTCCTTGGGATTATGTGCTTTGGCCAATTAAGAGGATGAGATTGTTGAGCTCAGAGATCATATGGTGACAATCAATGGGCATAATGTACACTGAATCAATCCTTCAGAATTGCATTTCAGATTTAGCTCCTCTGATAAGTATTGGCATTCTGATTAACTGTGAATTGAATGCAGATGAATAGAATTATTTCATTACTAAAGTCAAAATGACTGCTGTAACCTCATAGAAGGCCTTATAGCCCAGTGCTAGCATCTGTCCCCTTTACCCCTATGGAAAAACTGTTAGTTATTCCTCCCACTTTGGATGTCATTTGTTCTATATTAAGATCTTAATGCAAAATTGATTTTTGAATCAATATTTTAGTATTCTATCTTTGTGTTCACTTTGCAGGCTCCAGCTGTGATTCATGATTAAACCTTCGATTCTACATGTCCCCTATTGTGTTGTGTTCCCTGTTCCCTGATGATATTTCACATTCCTCAATTACAAATGAGTCTCTTTCTATTAGCAAAAATGTTCCTGATTAACCGCGAAGTTTACGACTTGAGGTGCTGATAGCCTTGTTGGCCCTACATTCTCCCCATATCGAAGTCTGAGTGACCACGACTTGCATTGACCTCACTCTTTTGAAACCATGCAGTCCCTACCTGTAAGCCTACTATCCCTATTATCATCAATTTTCCCTTACAACTGTGACCATTCCCTCAACGACCCAATACATTGAGGCCAATCCCCAGACTATTGTTACTGAGCATTGATGGTAGATGTGGTGCCAGTAAAGTGGATAGTTTCAATGTTTTTGAGTGTTATTGAAGCTGCACTCATTTAGGTAAGTGGGAGCTATTTTATTTCACTTCGGAGTTGTGTCTTACAGATTTTGGACATGTTTTGGGAAGTCCTGAAGTGAGTTATTCACTGCATGGTTCCTAGCTCTTGTAACAATTGTATTTATATAGATAGTCCCGTTGAGTTTTTGGTCAATGGTACGCCCCAGGATTTTGATAATGGTGTTTTAAGCGGTTGTAATGTTACTGAATGTTTGAGGATGCTGACTAGATTCTCTCTTATTGGAGATGTTTATTGCCTGGCACTTTTGTGACATGAATAATCTGAAATAAAATACAAAGTCCTGGAGAAACTCAACATGTCTGGCAGTATCTCTGGAGACAGAAACAGTGTTAATGTTTTTGTGTCCATTATTGCTCTTCTTTGGAACTGGCAGTACTTTCTATTTTTATTTTGACAGGTAAGATCATACGACCATGAAAATGAGGAACAGGAGTATGCCATTCGGCCCCTCAAGCCTGCTCTGCTGTTCAATATGATCATAGCTGATCTGACTTCCTCACATCCACTTTCCTGCCTTTTTCCCCATAACCCTTGATTTCCTGATTGATCAAGAATCTATTCATTTCAGCATTAAATATACACAAGGACTCTGACCCCACAGCTCTCTGTGGCAATGTGTTCCAAAGACTCTTTGAGAGGAGAAATTCCACCTCATCTCAGTATTAAATTAGTGCCCATTTATTCTGAGACTATAACCTTTGGTCCTAGACTCTCCCATGAGGGGAAACATCCTCTCAGCATTTACCCAAGCCCTTAAGAATCCAATATGTTTCAATGAGATCACCTCTTATTCTTCTAAACTCCAGTGAGTAGAGTCTCAACGTGTTTAGCCTTTGTTGTTAGGATAATCCATCCATACATTCTCTGATCTGCCTCCAATGAAATTACATCTTTCCTTAAATAAGGGACCAAAACTGTTCACAGTGATCCAGGTGTGGTCTCACCAGCACCTTGTACAGATACAGTAAGACTTCCTTACTCTTGTAGTCCAACCCCCTTGAAATAAGGACCAACATTTCATTAGGCTTCCTGATTATCTGCTGTACCTGTGCACTACCTTTCTTTGTTATGTATACAAGTACCCCTAAGGACCTTTATGTCACAGCTTTCTGCAGTTTTTCCCCATTTAAATAAGATTCCATCTTGCAACCTGCCTTTCCACCTATTTTTGAGTCATCTACAGATTTGCCTGTGGTACATTTCTTTCTTTCCTTCAAGATACTGCTATATATATTGTAAACAGTTGTAGTCCCAGCATTGACCACTATGGAACCCCACTGGTCATTGATTGCAAACCAGAAAAGAACCATTTATCCCTACTGACTGCTTCCTGCCCATCAATCAATTCTCTATGTCAATATACTACCTCCAGCACTATGGGCTCTTATCTTATGGGTTAACCTTTAGTGAGGTATCTTGTTGAATGCCTTTTAGAAGTCCAAATAGGTACCTGCTTGGTTTCCAAAGGTGAGTTTTTGAAACATCAAGTTTGTCATTTAGGGAAAAATTAACAGAGAAGAGAAGTTAGTATGCCAAATTATGTAAGTAATGAAATGCAAATGTTGCAAATAGTCCTGTTGCTACCTGATCACAAGAATTTGATCTCATCATGTAAAGACTTGATTGCAACAGTTTAACTGGGTGGCAAGAATCTTATTTTTGGACTCTCGCTAGGTTAAATCATCACTCTTGCCATTACTTTCACACCTCAGGTAGGGAAAATATGCAACCTCTCTCTGTAAAATTCAGTCAATAGAATTTTTTAAGTGGTTATTAATGACTAGATCATTTGCTCGGATGTAATGGCTTGAGTGAAATTTGCCATAGTTCCATACGCTGCTCTTTCATGGGATAAATCTGACTAGTGGTGAGTTTAACCTGAGGATCATCACAACTTGGGCAAGGTTGAGAAAGCAGGGTTTTTATGGTGACCTCAGGCATAGGAACTGAACCTGTGCTGTGGGCATCACCTTGCATCGTGAACCAGCCATCCAAACAATTGAACTAACTCACTCCACCTCCAAGAAATATTGACTAGAAATATTCAACACACACATACATTTACTTTCTAATCATTGAGTTATGCTTTGCATGCTAAAATGAAACCTTGAAGGAAAGTGACAGCGTTAGGGTGTTGTCATTCTGGTGCTTAGTCCTCAGTATCGATGAGTTAACAACATCATTGTTAGTCTGTTGGTAAACATCATACAACCATAATTATACTTAAGCTGGAAGTTTTTACAGTTGCATCTTACGCAGTGACTTGCAATTAACCGTGAGTAACTTACTCCATCTACACTTCAAACCTATTGAGTTTGGTGTTGACCTGGATATTCACACCAGTCAGGCACATTATAACCGCCCAATGCAAATTTCAACTCCTTTTCAACACAGAGGAAACCGCAACATGAGTCGCTCCAGCAATTTAACACTGCCCATAGACATGACATTGATCTTAGATATTAAGTACTTAGATGGCATTTGAATCAAATTATTTTTGATCTGTTATTTTTGATCCAAATTAACCAAACTAATTTGTGCTTAAGATGTAACAAGGTATAGAGCTGGATGAAAACAGCAGGCCAGGCAGCATTAGAGGAGCAGGAAAGCTGACGTTTCGGGTCTGGACCCTTC